TTTATTAATAATAGAACAATATAAGTAACCTCTTCAGATCTTCCTCTCAAATGTCCGCACGCCCTGCTCTCTTACATGCACCTGTTCCCATTCAAATGTCATCTATCGGAGGAACTTTCCAGAACAGCCAGTCCACACAGCCCCTTTCCTGCCCTCACTCTGTTCCTACCCTCCATCCCACGCCGCACCCCCGTCCCTGCCCCTGCTTTACTCTCTCCCACTGCCTTTATCTGCTACTCAAAAACACATCTATTTGCTGACGGAAGTGTTTCCCGGCCCCTAGAACTTTGTGTTTCAAAGAAGATGGGTTTAGAATAAAGCCCTGGGTGTGGGTGGGTGTGACAAGGAATCCAAGGAGACTGTCAAGCAGCTCTTTAAGCCTTGCTAAAGCTAATGGTGCTTTACATAAAGCACTGTATCTTTGAAAACAGCCCCAATGCTTAGAATTGTTTGCTTTCTCCTTGGACAGACAGGAGAAGATATGGGGAAAATCCACAGAACCTATGATGCAATGATTCGGGTGGTCACATGATGGAATTACAGAATGTAACCCCTGAGTCCTTGCTCCAGTATGTCTGCCAACTCTTGTTCCCAAGATGGCATTTCACACCGGTATCATTCACCTCCCATAAGACACTAGGATTTTCTATTTAGGAAGTTCAGAGGAGCAGCTGGAGCAGGGAACATACTTGATCATCTTGCAACTGAAGAACAGGAATATACTAATAAAACATTCAGCCAGGCAGAGAGAATAGTACACACCATGTATCCAAGAGGCTGAAGCAGGAAGATCTGTTCAAGGCCAGCCTGAGCTACATAGTGAGTTCCACCCTAGCCTCGACTACACAATGAGATGCTGTCTCAAGAACAAGCAAAACACTGCAAGCCAGGCCTGTTTGTGTGTCTCTATAACCTTTCCCCACTTCAAAAGGAGAGGCAAGAGAACCAAGAGTTTGGGGCAAGCCTAGTCTACATGAGACTGTCTCAAAGAGACAAATATGGCCACGTTTTATTTCACCATGATACTATCATGTAGCCAAGGTTGTCCCTGAACTTGTGGTGCTTCTGCTTTATAAGCACGCACCACCGTAGCCAGGTTGGGTTATTTTGTTATTGTTTACTTGTGTTGTGTCTTAAGATAAAGCCTCACTGTGCAGCTACTTACTCTGTTAAATACCTGATTTAAACCTCTTTGGAGATGGAGACACATGAGTCAGGGACAGGGTTTGTTTATAGGACATCTCACAGAAGCACAAGTGTAGTTTGGTAGTAGTGGTAACTAAACTAAATGGTAATGGAGACAGCAACTGCCTCAGTGCACAGTGAGAACCTATGTTCTGCTCTGGAACAAGATGAACTACCTCAATGTCATGTTGTCTCCTTCCTATCTTGAGTTTCCTTGTCCATAAAATTGATGTGGCTTTTTGCCCAAAGCCCCAGTTTTTAGGGAACCCTTCCCTTGCTTTTCTATATGTAAGTCACAACTAGCCCAATATCACTACTCAACCTTCATGTTAGGTGGTTTCTTATAGATTCTTCTGGGTCCTAAGGTGAAGACGACCTTGGTGACAGACTAGTAGGCGACCACATGGACTTTCAGCAGAAATGGCATCCAGCTTTGTACCAGGGAGCCACTGTCATGAGGCTGGTCAATGACAGAGGAAGTATAGCTATATTCATTCCTCCCTTGAGCATTCCCATGGATGTCACAACCATTGCTTCATGTAACTCCATCAACAAAGCTAGTTTCCTTGCAAGGTTGACTTTAGTCAATGGGGAAAGACAAATCTTCACCCATGGAGGACAGGGCATACTGGTCCATAGCACAAGCTAGCAAAGATGCCCTTACTCTTCCCATATGAAATGTGGCTCTGCTTCCTCTGGGCCAGTTGAGAACATCTACATGTCTATTGCAACAAAGCTCAATGTTTGCATTGCTACCTCCACAAATAAGCCAGGGAATTTGTGGTGATTAGCACTGTCTCTTATTGTCTTTTTGCTTATTCAATGCCTGGAACATAGTCAACATACTATTGAATTAAAGAGAATCAGGTAGACTGGTTAAGACAGAATGAAATGAGTCAGATTAAATGGGTTGAACAGAAGTGAATCAGACCAGCTGAATCCATGAGCTTGGGTGTGATGTAAATAAGTGACTCTAGAATATAGCATAAGGCAGGAAGAACCTTGGCAGGACCTGACATGCAGAAGTCTGTACATTCAGTGATGATGTTTTATTGGTGACCAAATGAAAGCCTAGTTAGAAGAGATGGCTGTCCCAACACCAGACCACCAGTGAAGTGTTCAGCTTTCCATTTCTGCTAAAGTTTGAGTGTGGATTGTCCCTCAGTAGGTCATGGAAGTTTGGTCCTCGGTGTAATGATATTAAGAGGAAGGTGGGGCCTTTAAGTCTAGTGGAAAATGATGAGGTCATTGAGGATATTGTCTTTGGAGGAACTAAAGTGATTCTCACGAGACTCTGGTCCTTTCTGAAGAGATAGCTGTTGTAAATGAGCTGGACTGGCCCCAGTCTCTCTGGCCCCTGTCTCTACATAAGATCTCTTCCTCGCATATGTCCTCCAGCCACAATGTCATCCTTATGTTGTGATGTAGTCATGAGGCTTGCACCAGAGTTGGTACCATGCTGTTTAGACTTTTAGCCTATAGAACTGTGAGATAAACAAATCTTTAAAAGAAAAAGAGGGTTCAATTTTGGTGTTCTATTATGGCATTGGAAAATAACCTGTATTAGTTACTTCTCTATTGCTGTGATAAAAAAAAAATCCCCATAACCAAGGCCACTTACAGAAAGCTTATTGGCTTATGGTTCCAGGGGAATAAGAGTCAGTTATGGGGAAAGCATGAGAGCAAGCAGGAGGCACGGTGACTGGAGCAGGATGCTGAGCACTCGCATCTTGAACCACTAGTAGGAAGCAGAGAGGGCAACTGGGACGGGCACATGGCTTTGAAACCTCAAGGTCCACCTCCAGTGACATACTTCCTCCAATAGGACATACCTAAACTCCTCAACGAGGGGCCAGGTATTCAAGCATCTAAGTCTATGAGGGACATTCTTATTCAAACCACCGCACTGACAAATGAGAATATCGTGTGTATAATTAATACTCCCAGTTCTCTCTGATCATTACACCTGTGGAGTTTAAATTACATTTTACTTCTGGGTATCTTTTATCTAGTCTGTGTGATCAGCTTTTATGCACTCCTGTTCCTTGCTCTTACCAATCAGCCTTTCCCATTTTGGACACACATCAAACTCTCCCCACCTGACCATCCAAACACCCAAGGCCTTTTGTGTGTGTTTCTGCAGTCTCCTCTTGCCACTGCCTCCCACTCTAAGGCCCTTGTTTCTTCTATTTGCTCTGTGTTGTCCTTTGAGAATCCTTGATCTAATAAAATTCCTGAGCCCTGACTTAAGTCAACATTCCTCTTGTGTTTGTGTCTGACAGGTAGCTTATGGGCACTAACAACCCAGGACCATTTAAAGTAAATTCTTCTTTTACAGGAATATGAAATTTTTTTTTTACTTTCTACCAACCGTCAAAGTCAAAATACATTTTCTCATTTTCATTTCTTTTTCCACTGTTCCCTTTACTAAACTTCCTTTCCCACCCATTCAGTACATTCTCTGTCCTTTTTCAGTCTTGTGTTTTCTAATGCATTTGAAGATACGGATGGCTGTTTGGGGGGTTTTGTTTTGTTTTGTTTTGTTTTTACTCTTTGACTCTTTGGTCTTTGGGGGCTGCCACCTAACTCCCAAATACACACACACACAGAGACTTATTTCTTATAAATACCTGGCCTTAGCTTGGCTTGTTTCTAGCCAGCTTTTCTTAAACTATCCCATCTACTCTTTGCCTCTGGGCTTTTACCTTTCTCTATTTCTGTATACCTTTTCTTTCCTTCTTATTCTGTGTCTGGTGGTGTGGCTGGGTGGCTGACCCCTTCTTTTCTCACTCCTTGATCTTTTTCCCCCAGATAACTCATCCTATTTATTCTCTCTGGCTGCCACCTCCACCTATCCTTTCTCCTGCCTGGCTATTGGCCATCCCACTCTTTATTACACCAATCAGGTGTTTTAGACAGGCACAGTAACACAGCTTCACGGAGTTAAACAAATGAAGCAGAAAAGAATGCAACACATCTTTGCATCGTTAAACCAATCATTGGTTCCACAGCAGGAACCAATGTAACCCATCTTAAAATGATATCCTACAACATATGGCATCTAAGAATTTCAGCATGCTTACCCACTGGGTGAATATTTACTTACTGCTTGCTCACTCTTTGGGGAAGATGAATTTCAAATGCAATGAATTGTACAAACCTGAAGTGTTTTAATTCTGTCAGAAAACTGAACATTAACACAACTCAAAAAAAATGTTCTCAAGTCCTTACACAGAGTCAGCCCAGAGACACCTCCAATGCTGTAACTGTCCATGCTCTGTCCCCCACTTCAGATTAATTTTTCAGCTGTAGAATTTCATATCATATATAATTATACCTTTTTTGCTCTTTTGTGTGAGACTTCTTTCAGTCTTCATAACCATTTGTGGGGGGGGGCTTATCTGTGTTCCTTAGACATCTTGATATTACATTCCTCTTTACCACTGGCTAGGGTTCTCCTGCATACACACCACAATTTGTTTATCCACCCTTGTCTTGATGAACATTTTGGCAGCTTCCAGCTTTGGGTTATGATAAACAGAGCTTCTGTGAAGTCATTTTTGGCCCTGCGTTGTTTTTCTTGGGCCTGGAGGGTAGAATTGCTGAGTCATAACAGGGGAATTATGATTAGTTTTCTAAGGAGCTGCCAGACAATCTTCGAAAATGGTTATTTTATTTTATATTCCCACCAACGTTGTGTGTGAACACTGGCTCTTCCTGTGTGTGGTAGCTCCACTTCTCATTCAGTCTTTTCAGACCCACTCTTTTAAGCTGGGCAGTGGTGACACTCATCTTTAATCCCAGCACTCGGGAGGCAGAGGCAAGGCTGATCTCTGAGTTCTAGGCCAGCCTGGTTTACAGGGTGAGCTCCAGGACAGCCAGGGGTACACAGAGAAATCCTGTCTTGCAAAACAAAACAAACAAACAAACAAAAATCCTAAAAATAAGGATTTACTCTTTTCCCTGAATATCAATTGAGAAAATTCCCTTAGGTAAAGCCAGATGCGCAGAAACACACACACACACACACACACACACACACACACACACACACACCTTAGGTTCTCTTTTCATTGAGGCATTGTTCTTACTTGTTGGCAAGAGCCTTAAAATGTCCCAACTTCGAAATCATCCAGAATTATTAGTTGTTTCAGCAGGAGAGTCAAGAATGATGCTAGTCTACCCTCTTGTCATTGGAAATTTCTAGAATACGCATTTAACCCTGTAAGTATGACTACATCACACTTCTGCTTACAATTCCACATGGCAGAGGCTGGGAAGATTGCTCAGTGGTTAAGAGCTCTTGCTGACCTTGCAGAGGACCCGAGTTTAGTCCCCAGCACCCACATCAGGCTGCTCACCATTGCCTGAAAGTCCAGCTCCAGGGAATCTGACGCCCTCTTCTGGATTCCACAGGTAGCTGCACTCATACGTGCACAAATTCACACAGATACACAGACACACACAGACACACACACACACACACACACACACACACACACAAAATAAATATTTTCTTGAAAATGTACATGGTAGTTAGAATACAGCCTCACCATCCCCATTTGACCACATTTTGACCTGTGTTTAATTTCTGACATTTACCTTAAAACATTGCAAGTCTACCTTATTGTTCTTTTGGGTTCTCAGACACACTTGGCTGTTTTGCACTTGGGGCTAATTGTTCCTTCAGTGGGCTGACTCACCACTCTCAGTTCTTCAGACAGACTATCCCCAAGTTTTTCACCTAAAACACTTCTCCTTCTATCCTACCAACCACACTTTTCTTTACACTGAAATAAATATGCTTTTATTATCTCAAGTATAATTCTTTTGTAGCATAACATTTTTATTAATGAGAGGAGAACTTCATGTGTGCATATAATGTATTTTGATTATATTCACCCCACCACACACTTAACACCCAGTTTTTTCCAGATCCACCCTCATCTTTCCAACACCCCCTCCCAACTTCATGACCTCTTTTTTATAACTCAGGGTCCAATCTGCTGTCCACATGCTCACAGATGGCACTGTCACTCTTTATCCCAGGAGTCTACACCGCCATGAGATCACATCCATATTTCCTGTTCACCCCTTGTTATCCGACTTGCCTCCATGAAGAGGTGAGTTGCTAAGAACAGCGACTGTACCCATCATCCCACCACTGTTTTCCAGTGCCTGAAACTGCACCAGTGGCCTGGGAGGGGCTCAGTTCCCAGTGGCTGAAAGAATAAGTAAGTTAGCAAACACATTCTGCAGAGACTAACCCAGCAGACACAGGTTGTATTCACTAAGTGTAGTCACGTGATATTAACTTTGTTGTGCTGTTGGTCTTGAACAACTGATCCTCCTGCCTCAGCCTCTTGTATAGAGGAATTACAGACATATCCCACCACACCTGACTTCTAATCTTTATTTTAATTGATTAGTTAATTTACTACAGCCCACTGCAGAAGAGGCTTCTCTGGCCGAAGCTGAGAGCAGCGCTAGTCTATGGATATAAACATAAATATTTATTTTTATTTATTTATTTTGTTTGTTTGTTTGTTT